GAGCTCACCGGAGGCACCCTGGAGTGGTGCGCGAGTACGCGACCCGCTGCTGGAGCTCGCTGGAGGTTGTTGTCCAGAGTGAATGGGACGATGACGCAGGCGCGGGCCGGGCCTGGGCCCGGGCGCGCGCGCTAAAATAACCCTTCAACCTCTTCTTTGCGCGTCTTTAGAGACGCCTCTTTCTTTGGCCCGCTCCCGCTCCACGAGAGGTGCCGCGCGGTGCTCTTCTAATTGCGCTGTGCCGCGGTTCTCTTCTCTCGCGGTGGGTGGCTCCGGCTCAGCGGGGCGCTCCAGCGGGGCGCGGCGAGGAGTAGAGCCCCGTGATGACTCGGCCGGACAGGACCGCAAACCAGAGAGGAGTGTCTCCTTGCAGGGAGCTGTGCGGCGGGGCGGGGCGGGGCGGGGCGAACGGGTGAAATGAACGGACACTGACGGCGTTTAATCGCTTGCTCGTCGTCACGCTCGTCACGGTGGTGGGGACTATACACTGTTGTGCTATGGAGACACCGATTTTGCCCCACCGCGTCTTTTCTTCTACTCTTCTGCCAATACACACACACACACACACACACACACACACACACACACACACACACACACACACAACATACGCACACACATTATTCACAAATTGCAAGATTTTTTTTTTTTATTTTTCGTTTTCGCCAGTGCCGCGCTTGGCGCCGCCGCCGTGCACGCCGTGTACGTCGCACGGACTGCAGCACTTATCCCTGGCGGGCTGCACTCGGCGCTTATTAAGACTTGAGTCGCAGCAGCAGCGCCGCTGATTGGTACGCCGGGCCGGCAGCTTGCTGCTGCTGCTGCTGCTGCTGTTGCTGCTGCTGCTGCTGCGCTACGGCCGTGCCACCGGAGCTGGAGAAGAAAACGGCTCGAAAAATATTAGCGCCTCCGGTGCTTTACCGCAACGGCACAACGGTGCCGTCGAGGGTAAACTCCACATGGCGCGCTTTTCGAATAAACATGTCGCGTCATTCTGCGCCTGGGAAGTTCTACGTGGTTCTACTGCTGCGATGACACGATTTGGCTCCCAGCTGTTGTGATGCCTCCTTGGTCCCCCCAGTACGGAGCGGAGCGGGCCGCCTATCTTTGGCCGACTAACTCGGCTTTCTGCTGCCGCTGTTGGCTCTGCCCTCGCCTGCAATTATTGTGCCATTCACCGTCCTAAGCGCAGCCGAAGCCGCAGCTCGGGCTCGGCTCAGCCCCGCGCAGCCGCCGCGCCTCAGTGCGTCCCGGCCCCGCCCCGCCCCGCCCCGCCCCGTCTGCAAGGCTGTCTATCGAAATCACTTCATCGGGAGTCCAATTCGAGGGGATAGACAGACCTCTTGTCCAGGGCCAGAGCGGTAAGCCTGCCGTACGGGCACAACACACACTCACATGCACGCACGCACACGCACGGAGTGTGCCGTTAGCTGGGTGGTCTGCGGTACGTAGGCTATTGGCCTAATTATGCGAGGTGGCTCATTGGCCCCAGCCTATACTCTCGTAGTTATACTGTACCGGCGTGCGTGCAGGGTTGACTACAGCCTCCGATCGTTGCAAATCCCACAGTCACTGGACCCTTTTGTACTGGTCGCCAATACATTTCTTAAATTCTTAAATTCATGTTCCTCGCCGAAGTGCCACACTGCAGGGCGCAAGTAGCGGTACTTACTTACAATGTTTTGGCGAATTTTGTGCTTTTTTGTCGCTCAGTGTGACAGGCGATTGTAGAGTTCAGAGGGTTCGGACCAATTTGGGCCTTCCCTGTGCGCGTGGCTTCTGCGCAGGGAAGGCCCAAATATCCAAATGTCCCCAACTTCACAATCGGCCCGCAAGAGCGCGCCACTCGCTCTCGCCAGTTAGCTGTGTAGCCCCCCTGCCCCTGGCCACCCGTCCCTCATCATGGCGTCGCCTGAGAACGTTAGCATTTATCATCCGTTTTTGAATGAATTTTTTGGTGTGAAGCACCGATGGCAGTTGTACCTATTCTCGGATAATCATCTCCCACATGTTTAGATTCACTATGTGTGGAACATTGCATCGTCTTTCGGTAGCCATCGGCTTGGGGCTGCTTTTACCAGATCATCAGATGTTGAGGTTATGCTACCTATCCCCCATCATGGGAACTTGCATCCCGTCCATCCTGTTGTAATGCTGCACAAGTAAGTTTATCTTCAGTTAAAGTCAGCTGGTGCCTGGAATACAAACACTTCGAACACTGCATATATTGTTTAGATTGTGAGTGGCCTTTGCGTAACCTCAGCCATACCAAGTCATTGATAAAAGAGTGCCCTTTATTGGACCTATACAACCTATACAATGCCTTATCATCAGGTGTGGGTGAGAGTTCTGCAATACAGCCACCTATGACTGATGCAATAAATGTGTGAGATGTTTTCTGTAGTTCCAACGAATCAAATTAGTTATACGCTCACTCCCAAAAGTCAACCGGTGTGCACCCTGTCCCAACAAAAACAAATTACAACTACAAATAAGGAACGATGGATAAGATTCTCAGTCAAATTTAGCAATAATCAAAATTATGACTCACATGTAGCAAGATTCCAAAACTTGGATTCAAAGTGCCAATTTTAGGAAATTTTCAATCATCCCACCCTTATTGGGCGAGGATAAATTGTCTCGCTTTAAATGCTTTGATTGATGAGACTCTAGGATTTTCAGTGGCGGGTCGGGTCGGGGCCGAGGCGGGGGTGGAGCCGCAGCCTCGATCCACTTGCTCGACTTTGCGGTCGTCGCGGCCGCCCGCTCTCGCGCGACTCCCTCCTGCGGTCAAAGTTTATCGCGCTGTTCGCGACGACACGCTGTTCGCGCAGGCGTGGTATAAGCCCCCCTCCCCGCTTTTAGTGAGCCACCTGAAAGGTAGACAATTTGTGCCACAAATTCCCTGAAAGTACACTGTAAATCCAGGGTGTCCAGCAGGTAGGCGACAAAGTCGCCTGACCCGCAAAACTAGGCTACTTATGTCGGCTTTGGATACAGTCCATTGTGCCCAGAAGGTGTCCAGCAGATAGTCGACATCAGTCGCCTAGTTTTGCGAGTCAGGCGACTTTGTCAACTACCTGCTGGACACCCTGGATTTACAGTGTAGGCAACCCACGGTGCTCCGCCCCCAGTCGGACTTTGGCGACGCTGTTCGCGACGCTGCTGTGTTGTTCGCGACCAACAGGTGACGGCAATGATGAGCAATGAGAGCGCTGCGGTATGAAAGTGAGCGCGGGAGGGTTGCGCGGCGGAGGATGCGACCGTCACGACAAGCGCGGCGCGGGGGCGGGGTCCCGCCAGGTCCCGCCCACGGAGCACACAGAAGCAGAGATACCACTCCCAGCTTACGGGTTCGCGTCAATTCCGTACTACTGGCGCGCTCTGAAGTGCAGTACGGCCAACTACTGGGCGGGGCGGGGCGGTCAAACCCTCCAGCCGGCCGGCCGGCCGGCGGTCAGCCAGGTAGGCGTAGCGGGCGAGAGGGTGCCCGTGGGACCTCCCCAACCGCCCGCTGAGCTAATATTTCTTCCGCGGCTAACAGGAATGACCGTTTACAACAAATTTTACTTGGAAAACAATACCAGCACGGGAGTGACTCGATCTGACGAGGTTTTGAAAATTGAAATCTATTGACTGATTCGGATTCTCTTTTTAAAAGAAAACGAAAGTTTTTCATGACCAAAGGCAATCAGAGTCGAAATAACGGATATATTGGTATCAAAACAGTACAAACAATGTCAAAAATGACTATACTTTTATTTTCAGTTTGGAGTCCATGACTTGCCTATTTCACCTCTGATCGTCACAGACTATAAGATATTTTTGGTTTACTTTCCCATGTGTAGTCCAACTGTGGCCCCAGAACTGAAAAGTAAAATTACTTCAAATTAACTGTCATATCTGTTAAATCATGTTCCTCTATTAGATGTAAGTGGTTCAGTCTTCCAAATGTGTGTCATTTATTTTTAATAATATCACAAAATAAACCCAAACTCAAACCAACATCATTCCATGTCGAACTGCATCTACAATTACCCAATCCATTGAACAGGCAATATCGTTACTTTTGATTTTGTTCTACATGTGTAAGACCGTAAGCAAGGAATAAAATTATAATAATTTTAGAAATGAAAAAAAGGTGCTGTTGTACAAAATACTTGTTTATCTTAACATATTCTAACTAAACTACTGTAAGAGAATACAAGTCTGACTGGTTTACCAAACAAATGGTTGACAACATCAAAGTAACGATATTGGCTGTGCAATGGATTAGTTAATTGCAGTTGCAGTTCGACAGGGAAAAATGTTGGTATACGTTTGATTTTAGTTTATGATATTGACACAGTTGAAGACGGAATTACTAACATAATAGAGGTACATGATTTAATTTAACAGCTTTGAGAGTTTACAATTTAGTAATTTTATATTAAGTTCCGAGACAAGAGTTAGACTCCTGTTTTCATGCCAATCTCTGTTATTTCAAATCTAGTTGCATTTGGTAATAAAAAAAGTTTCATTTTCTTAAAAAAAAAAAGAGGGATCAGAATCAGTAGTTAGATTTCAATTTTCACTGACCTTGTCATCTGCCCCTACCCCCAACAACCCCTCTCTTCAACTCGTAAGCCGTTACAGAAATGACTTTTGTTTCCCCTCAGCGTACATTTCTCAAACTTTGCAAAATGAGTCCTGCAGCTCTAAAAATAAGATTTTCATATTCATTTCGACCAACAAACATCACAATCGCTTATTAAAAAGCGTTCAAATCTCGAAGTGGGGGCATCTGCCTATCTCCTTCACCGCGCACTGGTACTGCTGCCAACCTCCCGAGCACCACAGCAGGTGGCCACCGGGGCAAAATAGTTAAAATGCGTATTTTTCCTTTTGTTGGTGTTTGTGTTATTGTGGAATAGTGTACTTATGAGGGAAACGAGAATACTTTGTGGTACTTTATCGTTAAACTAAAAATACGACAGGAAACCTTCACCAGTTTCTCGTCTTAGGTTGCCGACCCTTCCAGTACGGCATTCGTCGGGGCCGGCCTATCCCAGTGGAACCTCTGCTTCTGTGTGTTCCGTGG